AATTAGTCGGATCAGGATTGTAACTTGCAGTAGAAGAGAGCAAAGAGAAACCGCAGAAGCATTTATATCAAAATGGTCCACTGGAATGGAGGGAGAGAATGCAGAGCGGGATAACGCGAGTCCATTACGGTAAATAAATTATTGAGAAACAAATGCAGCATGGTGGAAGAAAAGAAAACGAACGTATTAAAGGAGGTGGGATAGTTAAGGACTGCGGTTTAGCAGCGAAGAGGAGAAATGTGCATTGACTGGGATTTAGGCTGAGGAGTTAAGATAATCACTAATACCCGTCTGCCTATCATCCACCTACCTTTTACTATCTCAATGCTACGATCCATATGTGCACTTTTCAATCGTCCATTCACATACCCATCTATCCATCTGCAAGCCATGTTGTAAGCACCAAATTACTACATTCATTTTTTCTTTCATTCATTCGTTCATACGTTTATTCCATTGCTTTTATCTTTTGCTCCTCCATCTAGCCCATTCTTTACCTAATTTGCCGACTAACTAGCCCGCCTACTAGTTAATCGTACCACAGACTGATTGACTGAATTAACTTTGCCTGCAAAATCAAAAATGCTGGAGCCTTGCACGGGAATATCACGTCAGAGGTGTGTATTTAAGTGATATTTAGAGGTAAGTCACTTAATAGGATACTTTAAAGGTACAGTTTCTGGTATTGCTACTTCGTCTCAGTCTTTACTCACGACGCTTTCACTCGTTTCTTGTACAAATTCTGTTGACTTTCTGCAGATGCTTTCCTACTACTCCCCCTTAAATATCTACATTTTTTTGTTTGAGCAACTCTTCTCCTTCTTCGCTCAGTAGACCACAAGGTCTGCTGATTTCCCCCTCCCTACACGCCTTCTCTCTTCTTGTGAGCAAATCAGATAAGCCTCATGGAGCCGCCTTGACCTCTTTGAAGTTGCTCTCTGTGAAACGCACGACTGTTTCGCTGACAAGGCCTCCCAACTTTGAAAGCAATTCGGTAGCTGCAGAGGTAGTTCTGTCCTCTTTTCTTGCTGCTGCGTTTGTCGAGGGGCTTGTAACCCCTCCTTTGCGAGTGTGCATTCCTGATTATCATATGCGGCATTTTTTAACCTTTGCAGGTTTCTATATTTTTGTATTCTTTGGATCCTATGTGCATTGAACTATATCATACAATTACACTCTTTTATATCTTTAGTTGTAGTGGAAGTCATTACTTGTCAATTAGTCCAGATTTAAATACATATCTTATTTGGTAATCATGTTTTTGATGAAGTTTTCCGTAATATAGCTAAGAGAAAAATTTTTTGCTGATTAGATGATGTTAACACTGATTTTTT